GTCCATCTACAAGCATCATCCCTCTTATGGAGTAATACAATAGTAGTAGCAGCAAAACCCCGTGGAAGATTACCGCCATCAAAGAAGTCCAAGATTGCTCTGTATACACCATCCTGAATAATGTCCTAGCAATACTGTTACCTATAGCAGCATACTTCTTACCATAACTTCCAGGCTTAGTATTAGAATTAAATAAATGTAATTCTGTTCACACCATTACCAAGAACATTATTTAAGTTTCATGTTTGGACATGAATTGTTTTAATGTTAACGACAATTGTTATTCCTTTTATTTTGATAAGATCTTAATGGTTATGGTAAATTAAAAACTGATATTTATATTCTAAACATTGATTATTCTATAATGGGTATAGATACTGAAAGGCATAAAAGTGATAATTTGAATAACACCTATATTTGGCATCACATGCTTGGTCACATAAATGAAAAACACANATCACATGCTTGGTCACATAAATGAAAAACACAATTCCAAATTACATAGAGTCATATATTTGGGTCAAATGATTTTGAATCATTAGACAAATATGAATCATGCATTTTAGACAAAATGACCAAATTCCCTTTCAATTGAAAAGGAGAAAGAGTCGTACAATTACTGGGGGCTAATATATAGTGATGTATGTGAACTCATATCAATAAATACTAGATGAAGTTTTTCTTATTTCATCATATTTATTAATGACTATTTCAGAAATGGTCATGTATACTTAATGAAATTCAAGCATGAAGCTCTTGAATGGTTCAAGAGATTCAAGCTAGAACTAGAGAAATAAATATGTAAAATATTCACATGCTAAGATCCGATCGAGGTGGATATATCTTAAAGATAAAATTTTAGATTATCTAAAAGAAAATGGGATTATCTCGCAATGGACTCCTCCACATACACTATAACATAATGGTGTATCTGAAACGATGAATCATACACTATAAGATGTAGTGCGATTAATAAAAAGTCATGCAAACCTCCCAAAATCGTTTTAGGGTCATGCATTGATTGTAGTGTTCTAAATGAGTTGACAAAATTTCATACGAATTCTAGAAAAACAAAATGGATGGATAATTCCATACGACATGGATGGAAACATCCATATATACAAAGAAAGGCTAATAGCAAAAGGTTGTAAACAAAGATAAGGGGTTAACTTTGATGAATCTTTTTACCTGTAGCCATGCAAAATTCCATTTATATTTTGCCTATAATAGCTACATACCATGACTATGAGTTATGTCAAATAGATGTCAAAATCGCATTCCTCAATAGAAACTTGCAAGAGGAAGGTATGCAACCTCTATCAATCTATGGATTGAAACAAGTCTCTTGGAGTTGAAATCTTTGCTTTGATGAGTAAGTCAAAAAGTTTGATTTTATAAAAAACGAAGGCGACTCATGCGTTTATAAGAAAATGGTGAGAGTGTTTTAATATTCCTGATATTATATGTAAATGCGTTATTAATAGGAAACGACATCCTTATATTTCAATTGTTGAAATTGCGGTTGTCAAAGAATTTCTCTGTGAAAGATATGGGTGAAGCAACTTGATCTATAAAGGTAGATCTAGAAGATTGTTTGACTCATCTCAATCTCATCAGAGCGATAATACAAAGAAATGGCATAAAAAAGAACGAATTCCCACAATTGATAATATTATAGATCAACTGACAAAGAGTTTTTGCAGCAGAAATATGATCGTCATGTAGACTCTTATGGTATGAGATAAATAAATGATTAGATCTAGTACAAGTGAGCTTGCAAGTGTTATACCCTACGTCCAATCGATTTTGGACAAATGCACTTTTAATATATAGTTGATGCATTTTTATTTATGGGAGATCTAATATTTAATTGAATTATACTCTAATAAATTAAATAATAGATTCCATAGATTCAAATCTTGGTGATTTTTTAATCACAATGAGTTGTGATTGTGAAATATAAATTACATATGACCGAAGCTTAAATTATCCATGGTTGTAAGAAATAATGAGATACCGATATTGTTATTACGGATAGACTATCACGGTTGCATATTTTACTTGTGAAATAAGTAGCTGATTCACAAGTTAAAGTATGGTGACACTTAAACAAACCTATGAGTGTTTTGTTATAGAACAAAACATTGGAAGCTCGCTAGAAAGATTCCACATGGATAATTATTTGAGTGTTAGTGGTTAATCTCTAACGTTTGGTAGTAGAATTGGTCATTTCACTTGAGGTCATCATAGTACCTTATATGAGGACATTCGTGCATTGGTGATGTTGGATGTTGCTCTACCAAGATTCAGTAATACGATATCATGTCAACAATCATATAAATGTTGTGAATGATCAATATGAGATTCGTCACTCTTAGATAGTAAGAGATTATGATCTACATTTCATTCAGTTAAGTTGATAATGAAATTGTGCACATAAGTCGAAGAGTTTTCGACTTATATTGACTAAAGAGTGGGATGGAAGATTTAATTAATAATCGAAATTGACACACATCCATATCTCATAATTGATCGGATCATGTTGACAAATGGATTATAGTTTCACGGTAAATGAACAAGTTTGATTAGATCAAAAAATAATTCATGTCGTGGAACAAATTTAATTAATTGGATTAATTAAATAATGGACCTGATTAAGTTTAAGAAACTAGTTAAATCCACTTGGACTTTTATTAATATGCTGCTAAGGTTTGAAAAAAAAAAAACACAACACGATTATATTCTTGCTAGCACAAAAAAAGAAAAAACCTTAGTTCTCTCAATTTTATACCCTTTGTGAATTTTCATTGGAGGTTGTGGATTGCATATCAAAATTGTTCTTCAAGGAATTCATTAAAGGTATAATTTCTATTACAGTTTCTATCTAAACGTAAAGCAGATCCTTGATGGGAATTAATCTGTTTTATTTCTCGTTGTACATGATTAAGTAAATACCCTATATGCCTTCCGTCAAATTGAGTAAAAAGAGCACGATATCAATGATAATAACTAGCAACTTGAATCTTAATAAATGGAAGGTCATGTTGTACACGAATTTTTCAAAAGAAGGTTTAAATAGATAGTCCACTCGTCTCTGTAGCAAGGACACTTTAACTAGGGTAGCGTATCCGTTTTTGTGTCCGATACATGTCGAACATGTGTCAGATATCGATACTCCTCGAACATTCTGTCGTAGTCTATTGTTTTTCTAAATATTATATATTTTTAACTCAAAATTATTATTAAGTAGCAAATAGATACTCATATTTAAAATATTTCGACAAGAAAATTTAATAACAAGAATAAAACTAAATTTATACTATTTAAATAAAGATTTGAAAAATTCAATCAACGTGTCATGTCAGTAGTTTTTTTTTTTGAAAAATCGCGTGTCAACGTGTCAAACACATGTTGTGTTGGGCATACTTGTTCGTGTCGGTGCTTCATAGCCACTCATAATCTGGTTTTCCATTAGTAAGCTTAGACCATTCGCTTGAAATCCACCTTAAGTGCTAGTTTATGGAATCAACCCACACTTTCACGTTATTTTCTCTTTCATTCACTCTCTACTTTCTTCGCCTCCTTGGATTTGCAAGTCTGTGTAACATTTACAATCTCAAAGACGAGGGGTTGCACTTAAACCGTGACTTTAGTTGATGACGAAGTTTTCATCGAACTGGTTGAAGTAATGATGCAACTATTTGTTATATTAATAGTATCTGGGACAGCATAATGCTTTAATTGCACGTAAAGCATATATGCTTAGTTCAGCTCCTTCTTGCTGGATGTGAATTGGAAATCTTGGATTGTTAGACTAATTTCAGGTTCCTGTGCGGGCTTCTATATCCAAACAAGGATTACACCATTCTACAAGTTCTGCCTACTCCGAGAGAAATAAACTGGCAGTTAAGCCAAAACAAAAGAATATCCAAATAGAAAGGAAAATCAACATGTCAAACACAGTTGATGTATGTAACTTGAAACTGAGTTTGTATAAATCTTGCTGTTCATAATCTGAGTCCTACATTCCGCAAATGACAATACTCACTGACCTATATTTGAATTTATTTTAGAGACTTCCATAACATTTACTGAACACAATGGATGTTTTAACGACCTAATGGCATCACATGGATTCAAACTTTCTACAAAAGAGGAGGCCTGAAAATTCACCGAGGGATCAGAAAGGACTTGCTAATTTTCTACCAATCTTTTTGGAAGCATCATCAATGTTTGTTTTCTTTTGACACAACCAAAGAAAGGAAATGTCAAGACAGAGAGTTGAAGTCCAGCTGAAACAATATATAAACTGCAGAAGCTATTAGGACTCAACCTTTCGAGTTTAGAGTCAGCATTGGAATATGAACAACTGTTTGGGGAAACCAAGCTATTTCTTTTCCAGTTCTGCATGAAAGCCATCCTTCATTAGAGTTAGAATGGCTTCAGAGATATCTTGTGCTATTGGGGAACCTTTTGGGAATACCTGTAAAGCAATATAATTTCTAGTATTTGATGTGTCAACTCCAGTAATATGTGCACAAAATTTAGATTCCACACAACTCAAATTAGTCTGACCGGTTACCGAGTACTTACAAATCCTAGTCCTCCAAAACTGTAGATATGGCTGGTCACCGTGTACTCTTTGCAGTGATCTTTAAGAAAAACATTTTGGTAAGGAAGTTCAAGAAGTGAGGGTTGATGTCTAGCTTACCATACAAACACAAAAAAGAGCCTCACCACAACCAACAGTTTTGAGAATTTACTATGAACTTTCTCTCTTGTTTAATGCAAAGCCTGAATTATATTAGTATATTTGCATTGGATATGCAACAGAAATAGGTTGTAAAGGCTATAAAGTTTCCATCTGAGCATATGTTTGTAAAGCGAATTTGACAGTATTGGAAAGTAAGGAAGTAAAAGGAACTAAATATTTGTCAATTATATTGTCCAACCCTCTCCAATACTGCATATCAATCATGCCATGAATGATCAGATACTTATTATGAGCAAAGAAGAGAGAACTGAATGTGAACCACAGGTCCACAACGCAGTTCCAAGTTGATCTTTCCATGGCCCCCTAAATTCTGGATTAATGGATTGGACTGATGCTCCATTAACCAAATGAAAAACATCATGTAGAGTAAGTTGGCAAGTGCATAAATCCACATATCTCTAATGAAAGGCATCACAAATATCCAAGCCCTGTGGGGATCAATCTTGGCTGGAACCAGCATTGACAATGACAAGCCAGACACGGAAAATGGTTGACTGAACTCTACGTATCTTGACCGGTTGGCTAAGATGGTAACATCGCCCACAGCAGCATCAAATGTCTTTCATGCAATATAAATTACCAAAAAGAAAAATTCGTTATCACAAATATTGTCAACAGATAAATAACTGGGATAAGGCACATAATTACTGTCACCAATTGTTGTCAAGTAAATCATGTCTACAGTTCATTTGTTTTTCCTTTTCTTTCAAGAGGACTAGTTCAGGGGAAAAATAAATCCTGCAAGTCTCTGGAGAAACTTCTCCTAGAGTTTAAAAAAAATTGCTTAAAGGTGAAAATGCACTGTCAAGTTCAAACATGATGGATCTTCTTACAAGGACCATCTTCAAATGCTTAGAATCGAATTTTGGGAATGGAACAGGAAATGAATATCTGAACTATTATCCAATTCCAATTTAAGCACCATTTATATCTGTTACATGCTGACTGCTTCAATTTTCTTATTGACACGCAGGACAGAACGGACTCCCATAGGTCTTTACGATCTAATCCTTTGTTAAATTTTATGAATATTATTAAGGACGGGGCGATCTGTGAAGATGCAGGGATTTTGGCAGTTTATATTCTCCTTCATTACAGATATAAATGCTTATCGATTAATTGAAAGGACACAAGACGTCTACTGAAGAAACTTAGCTAGATTACACACAATTGGTAGAAAAGGAAGCAAGATTATATTGCTATACATCTTTTTTCGTAAGAGTATGAATGTAAACACCAGATAAAAATATCCCAGATGAAAGAAATGCCTTGATGATGATGTTCTCAACCAGATCATTATAGCTACTGTTGAAGACCTCAAATTCATAATGCAGGGTATAATTTTTCTCCAATTCTTTAGCACCTGTTTAAAAAATCGATGCAAAAACCTTCATATTTCATCTCATTTGTCTTTTCGACCCATTCTACCTTCACAAATGCCGGATTGGAAATCTTTCCAGGAACTCCAGTTTTCAAGGGGGCTGCCAATCCACTGGGGACTCGGTCCGATTTCCCTGGCCAATTTACCAAGCTGCCCAACTTGTTCATACTGTAAGCGCCAATAACCCCACTACCCTTCTCCTCATTTTTCCCTGAGAAACCAATTTTTGATGACCAAATGCCAAGCTCTTTATACCTCCTGCCAACAATGCTAACAATCTTCAATATAGATTTCTGCACCAACTTTTGTCCCCTAAAACGAATTTCACCACTCAGTCCAATGAAATTGTTTGATAGAATTTCATTCAGCAACAGTTTAGGATTACTAATACTGGCATTGTTTCTACGTTATTTTTTACAGCCTCAGCAATAGATGTAATGCGAGATATGCTTTCAGAGCATGAATTTCAGGATTCGAATTGTCTTCATCTGGGAACTAAGTGTTATGCCTTAGGTCCAATCAACTTTGGACATAAACACTTTAAATATATATAATTGATGCATGTATGGCAATATCTATTATTTAATTGAATTAATATTTTAATAAATT